TAAACAATACTTCGACATTTTCTGTTATCAATCTTTTTGCTGTTAACCATAAATACCCTTAATTACATAAAATGTCGCAGCGAAAGAGTTAAGTTTGGAGCAACAAAGAAATAGAATTGCACTAAAAAATCATTATCAGCATAGATCAATTTATACTTATTTACTATTCAAGGAAGGTTGAACAGACATTATTGTTGTCCTACTAACACGTTTAAAAGGTATAACATTTCTTACAATTAATTGTTTCATGCCAGACATATATTATAATAATTTACTAATTAGAATTATGTATATAATGACAATTTCCCATTCTTATATATATATATGTCTTACGTATTTGTTAAATCTGATCATAGTACCCATAAACTTACATTGTTACATAAAAGTTATACATTGGACATTTGTTTTTATGATAAAAGTACACTAAGAAGTTGAGTTCCCCTAAATCTGAGGAAGCGTTTTTAGAATAGTATACAGACTTTTATATTTAACTTGTTTGATTAGTATCGGAATTTTGTTGTCTTCTGTATAATGCGATATTGTCATCTGTGTAGTCCATTATACGACGTTGGCATTGTCTCACATACTGTTGTTGTTTATGATATATTTTGAACGCGCCTTTTATTGTTATAAATGCTATACCACCCTATAAAAAGCCATACAAGATTTTTATTAACTAATTGAAATTTTATTAACTGTAAATATATATTTAATACATACGAGCAACGTTCTTTGAAAGTTGGAGTGTATACTTTCGAAGAATATTTTGCCACATATACTGGCAATACTGGGTAGTAAAAGCGCACCACAAAGAATACGTGTTGCTGATATTGGATCACTCATGGGTGGCATATCTTCAAACTGAGCTCTGTCATCACTAGAATAACTGATATAATAAATACATATATTAACTTAATGTATGTATTACGGATTGAAGCTCTTTATGTTTATGTTTGTACATACCTATTGGGTAAAAAATACCTCAGAATAGGAACCTTACATGCGTGTCGTCGGAAAAGGTTGAGAGCCTGATCTTCCCATCTTAGCATTTTACCCAATACTAGCAGTATTGGAATCGTTGGCAAACCAACTAATAACACTAAAGGATCAGCTTGTTCCATCATTGCTAAACCATCTTTATACCCAACTACTTGCATTACAGTTACTGCTCCATATGTCACAGCAGTCCAATACATAGATGCAACAACTATACTAGCTGCTATGTATGGACAAATTCGGAAAATTACACCATCAATGTTGTCCAATACTACTACCAACGGTCCTGGAATATTTTCGACACATATATTATAAATACCACTTTAATTAAATTATTAAACAATAAATAAAAGAATTAAGAAATGATAACAAACCCATATTTGGATATACAATAATATATTCTGTGTTGCACTGCGGACATGCTACATTAGCGCCTGCACGTCCTTTCTGTTTTTCATCTACCCATCTTTGTATACAACCCTGATGAACCCATTTAGTTGTACCACGACAATGACATGGTTTTACCCATGATGCAGTCGCGTCATCTTCGTCTGTGGCAAAACACACCCAACAGTATCTCCTGCTATATTGAATAAAAATTATTTGTGCAATGTACATGTATTTAAGTTTAGTGTCTCATATTAAATAAAAAATTTATATAGAACACTATACGTACTCATCTTCTGAATTTACTGCCGGTGAACTAACTTCTGGTTGACTAGGAGAAGATGCTCCATCAGTTACGTCACTCGTTGATTGTGCAGTCTCCACAAGTTCAGGCAATGGTTCTTCATTGGCCACAACCTCTTCAACTTGAGCATTGGTTACTTCTATTGACAATAAATTGTGTTTTTGTTAAATTAAAAGTTTTATTAAATAAATTAATATTTCTATTTTATCAAAAAACACAATTAAAATATTAGTATTTTTAATACTATAGTGTTATATTTTTATATTAATCATTGATATTTTTGTTCAAAATAGCCAATAAAAGTATCTATAACAAGCATTTATACTTCACACATTATATAGTGTAGTATATACACTATAAATGCAGATTACATTACCATGGATTACGAACAAATCCATCAACAAGAACGTAAACATTGACAATTTTTACCATTATTTGATGTGTTAGCTTGTCTTTCTTGTCTCATATTAGAAAGATGCCTTCTTATAGTTACTCCTATATTTCGAAGACTATGCATATTAGGCTCAGTTATACGAGAATATCTTATACTTATTATTCTTCCAGGACGATCAATCCCATAAATTTGAAACAAATCGTTGTCTGACATTGTATCTATGAGGTTTTCAATACTTCGTTATCATTTTACACCTGTAAAAACAGATGTTATGAAACATATGCCACAATACTATTATGCACTTTTTTACAAAACACTGTGTAAAATAGAAAGAGCAAGTACAAAATTACATATATGTGTCAACTTGACTGTCAATGGTTATACCAGCTACTTGCATTAAAAATCAAGAACATTTCTTAATGTTGTGCACATACACTATAATGTTTTATTATATACCACAATCTTTTTAATTTAAAGATTATTTACCTTTCTACATTTTTTAAATCACAATTAAATACATTGTTATTTCCTATTGCAAAATCACAAAAATAAATTTTGATGTTAGACCAAAAGAGTATGTTTAAATGATATTTCTGTCTCATGAATCAACTGATCTTGTCACATCAAGGCACGACACTGAAATAATAAATGCAGAACCACATTTTTAACCAGCGTTACGTGGTTAAAAGGTTGCTTACCTACTGGTTAACATGTGTCATTATAAACTACATGAAATGATTCCTCAATGATACAAATATTCTCTAATTAAATATGTGTTACTTTGAACTCAGTACTTAAACAATGTTAAGGACACTATAAGATAATGACAATACAACTATACTATCGAAATAAAAACAAAAAAACATTAATTTATACCTGAAGTAACATTCATATGTAATTCACTGTTGCACATTTGCGACGAAGACGAAGTGACGAAATCATTGACATCGTTTCAAAACACAACGAGAAATAATTACATGACAATAAAAAAGATTCATTTACATAGTAACCTTTATTAATATTTTACAATTCTGGAAAAATTTTTCTTTGAAAAGTTTAAATTACAAATAGATTCATTCGTTTTTTTACTAATATTAGTGTAACGACTAAAAGTTATGTGAATTGCTGTTCATACTGCCAATATTTTAAACCGAAAATTCGCTTCTGAAATTAATTGCCAAACTTCACACCAGTTTGTGAATCCTTTTTAATGTGTTGAATCTTTCTGATTGCCTACCTACTACCTCTATAGCTGCCATATGTATATATACACACATACATCATGTGTACGTACGCAAGTGTGGCACTTATGTGCATATGTATATAAGTATTTATGTGTAGTATCCTTCCATAGTGTCACATTAATATCTGTTTCCAAAGTGTCGCACTTCTATCCCTACCATCTAGTAATGCAATCAATCGTGAACCAGCAACAAGTTGTCAACCAATAAGAGCAAAGATAAAATAACTTCCATTATTTTTGACGATCACTGTATATTGAGATGAACAAAATTATTTTTACTAATATCTAATCACATTACGTATATCTAATCACATAACACGTGGACCTGAAGAACGAATTATGTGTGATCAATTCAATATGTACATACAATTAACACTTTGGCACACGGAATAATATCCTAATGGCAAATCAAGAAAGACAGGAGTAAAAGAAAGATGTGTTTAATGATTTTGGACAATATCTAAGCTAATATTTTTTTGTAACAAAAGTAATGTATAACGAAAATTCAGTAGAAACAAATATGAAATATATAAAATTTAACCATAAATAAATTATGTATGCAAGTCAATATCAAATGATTTAATTTCTGTAACGGAGCTGTAGAGGACACCACTTTATGTGCTATAATATGCCGCTGTAATCCCATGATAACCTCGACCCCTCATGGCCTTACCCCCTGCATCAAGGCACCGTTCTTCAGGTCCATGATATATAAATTACATGTACTGTACATTATAATGTAAAATCTAATCTGACATATGTGAAGTCAGCTATAAAACAACTTGTGATGACAGTGACGTATCACATAGTACCAATTGGTATTTGTCAATTCATTCGATTTGTAATTATTTGTATTAAATTATGACTAAATGAATTGACACATAAATGACATTATATATTAAATAATAAGGTTAATCTGTAATTAATAATTGAATATTTAAAATAATTCACGAATCATGCAGTGTTGTGCAAAGTGTTAAGTCATAAAAACGGATGACAAAGTATAAACTTCTTAAATCTTTACGAAGGCGATTAACGGTTTGACGAAATTATTCTAGAATATAAATGAGAGCTGCTGGTTTTCCAGCAGCAAATATTAGTGTTTGACTTCTACAGTGATGGTAATGAACATGCAGATAGTACTTAAAGCAATACCAAATATTTAATCGTGCTAAAAGTGTTGAAAACTCCGTTTTCACTTATTTTCACAATCTAAACATGTTTTCTACGATGTTCGATCTACGGAAAATTTTAAAAGATACTATAGGTAAAAATGATATTTTATTCATATTCTTAAATATTGTTATTTAAATTGTTATTTAATATTAAATATTGTTAATTTAACTTGTTAAAAATGAATTATACAGACGTTCCATTTATGTTTTTAGTAGCATTTATAGATCTAATTTATTTATGTCTATTTATAAATTCTGTATTATTATGTTTTATATTAATAATTGGTGTATGAATTATTATTTTTAGTTGAATATATTGATGTGGATTTTACGCTTTGGCTATCATGGCTTTTAATGCCACTATTGATAACATTTTTATTACCACTTGTGATTGTGGTATTATTATATTTAACAGCATTAATCTTATATGTATATAAATTACATAGGTACGTATTTACCAATTCAAATATGTATAATAAATTAAATATTTGATATATACATTTAATATTTTATTATAATAGAGCTAGATTAAGAAATGCATATGGAAGTGATTGGAGAAATGCAGCTCGTAATGTAGTAGCTGCAGTTTGGGATGCTCATGGTTGGATATGGTATGGTATGTTAAAAATTTGGAGCCATAATTTTCTTGCTACACATTAAACATATGGTTATAGTTGATTCTACTTATATTTTTTGTAGGCTATGAAGTCATTGGATTAGAAAATATTCCAAAAGACAAACCAGTACTTTTTGTATATTATCATGGAGCAATTCCAGTAGATCTTTATTATTTCATAGCAAAAGTATTACTTTTAAACTCAAGATTGATTCATTCAGTAGCAGATAGATTTCTATTTAAATGCCCTGGATGGTCCATAATATCTGATGTGCTAAAGGTCATTCCTGGTACTATACAAACATGTTCTAATATTTTAAAAGAAGGTAACATGCTTGCTATCTCACCTGGCGGTGTATATGAAGCTCAATTTGGAGATTCTTATTATGAATTGATGTGGAAAAAACGAGTAGGTTTTGCTAAAGTGGCATTGGATGCCAAAGTGGTATGTTATTTTATTGTAACATCTCCTTTTTTTTTACACACGGACTGCTTTGAAATGTTAACATTTTTGTAACAGTGCATAATACCTTTCTTTACAAGAAATGTTAGAGAAGCATTTAGAAGTGTAAGTTGGGGTAGAAGAATATGGTTGAGAATATATGCTGCAACAAGATTTCCTTTTGTACCTATTTATGGAGGATTTCCAGTTAAATTGACAACATATGTTGGTAAACCAATTCCATATGACAGCAGTCTTACACCAGAAGAATTACAGTCAAAGGTACTAAAAGTGGAAAAACATTTACTACAGTTTTTCAGAAAAAGATGCTTGAAATAAGTTGATAGTCGCAATAACACAGTAATGTACCATTAAATAATTTCCAGGTCGCCGATGCACTTAATGATTTAATAAGAGAACATCAGAGAATACCAGGAAGTATATCTTTAGCCTTGCTAGAAAGAATACGTGACGTAG